AAAGAGATGAGATAAGTTGGCAAACTTCACACTAACTTTTTGTTTCCCTACAGAGATTACGGTCAACAATCAGTCAAACCCATTAAGACTGATCTGTTTCCCCAAATAGGTGAAGTAATGGTCAACACACTCTACCACTTCACTCCTTATCACTATGTCATGCGGTACACCACATGTTCACAGTCGAAACAAAAGTGAATCCTAATTATATTCAGATTTGTGATATTCTGAAGTTAACTCAGACAGAGTTTGGGTTTGCGTTTGCTTACTTATTCAACTTTCAAGTGAGTTGCACCTGAACATTGGAAAAACACCAACTCACCTCGGGTGCCATCCAATATGGTGTCCCAATAACTGTATTGCGTTTGGCTAGTGTATCAGACAATTGGCCGGCAACACCAAAATCAGCTAACTTTGCAGCACCTGAATTCAGTAGCAGAATATTCCCCGCCTTGATATCCCGATGAATTTTTCTCATCTGAAAGTAAAATAATAAAAATCAGTCTGAAAAGAAATAAATTGATGTGAAGGACCACAAGCTGACTGCGAACACATTATTATTATCCCCTTGGGTTCCGAGTGGAACATAGGGCTTCCACGGCACATCTTCATCGTACCCTATTCTCGTCAGTAATTATTAGCTGGCTTCACGATTACCCTCCTACTCAGCACACGATCTCCTCCATGTCAATCTCGGACACACAGCCAACTCGCCCTCTCTCACTCGGGTTCCGCTTGAAAGTTTTCCTGGCGCACGGTTTCACTCAAGTCTCCTCTGTGTGTATCCGGTCCACCTATCTCTATTTACTTCAGAATATTTATTGAAGTAGATGTTCATTCCCAGAGTTCCTTGTTGCTGATGCTTTCCAACCGGATACCTGAACTCCAGTATAAAGTCAATGAAGGTAACTGTTGATAAAAGTTTTCAGCAACCTGCTGGAAATGCTTTTCGTGATACCAAAGTCATATTTTTGACCCATATAGAAACAATGACTGGTTGACTTAACGTTGGTGTTGGAAATCTGAATTTTGTCCTTTATGTTGTGGTGGATTTCCATACTTATTTCAGAGTCTACTTTGCCTGTCCGATTCTGGTCCATTTTGATATCTCCATTGGTGCTTTCCACTTGTCTGTAGCTGAGGGGATGAAGCCTAGCGATGTAGGTGAAGGAAATGAGTGATCTCTTTCAAATTTCTTCCGCTGACGGTGATTGGTGATCGTTGCTGTTGGTTTGTTAACTATATCACCCGTCCCCTCTTTTTTTTATTTCCTTCACGTTCCCAGTGGAACAAGCTAGTAGCTTCAAGTTGCTGTAGCAGTGTTTATTTTTACAGGATGGGGTTGCTAGCCTAATGCCCAACCTTTCCTCTTTACCAATCTTATTTCTGGCTTAGCGAGGTAAAGGAGTGCGTCGGCCGGGAATCGAACAACGGACCATATGCATGGTCGGCAAGCGTCCTAACCATTGTGCCACCGACGCACATCCGTCCCCCCTATGTTCACTTAAAGTCCTGTCTTCACCGCCAGCCTCTTCTTCCAACCTCTTGGTTTTTGCCTGTAAGTCTTCGAATTTATATCATATTGGACACACATTATCCGCAAAGTCCAAATTTTATAGAGTCTTCTTATTGGTTCAACGTATTTTTGTCTTCTCGCTCCCTAAACTGTGCCAAATCATCCAGTCCTCCACAACAAGGAGTATCATCGTTGATAGTAGGCAGCTACGTCTTACACTCTTGTCTCCAATTTAAAGGCTTCGCTAAGGTTTTCCACTGTAAACCACCTGGTATGCGGCATCATCACATATTCGTTAAAAGTGGATAAATTTCTCCGGCACTGCAGTCTGTAGCATTACAGCAGGTTCCAAACAACTTCACGGTAAATGTTGTCGAAGGCATTTTCAAGGGCTACGAATTCCAAGTAGAGATTTGACTGCTATTCAATGCTCTATTTGATTATGATGACAATGAGTAGTGTTGCAATTTGACACACATACACACACATGATTTGCTTTCCCTGAATCTAGCCAACTTTTTTAGGCGACGTTCTGCATCCAGAGCATTTTTTAGTCTTTCCAGGATAACGCGACTTGATATTTTGCTCAGCGTCCGAACAAAAGAATGATTCCACGCCAGTTCCTGCAGCAAAGGCTTAAGTCGCGCTGACTATGAATACATCAACAGAAGGTAAACTAAGCAGTGGTGGTTCGAAAAAAAGCCAATGCACTCTAAGAGATATTAATACTTTAAGTACTCTGATTCGTTTTGTAATGTAATCCACAAAAACCTAACAATGACTGTGAGTTAGGCCAACTGCATAGGTCATTCAGATCAGCAAATGAGGGTTAGTCAGTTTATCTTAACGTAAGGACTTAGCTAAGAGTAGAATCACTTACCCCACGATGATAAGTTTAGAAAAAGAACCTCAACAATCGTAATGTATACACCGACACACACACAAGCACACAGAATACAGTGTGGGACAGAGCTATAGTGCTGAGAGGTAACGCAAACAGATGGATGGAGAGGCTGATAACTGAATCTTTGTTCACCGAAGCTACACACACCAAACACTTGTAATGGGAGAATGACGCAACATATACAAACCAGTGGTATTGAAAGTAATACTACTAATAAAATCAAAGGATAAGAAACAATAGTGGAACTATAATATAAACAAATTTTGAAATTTATGTATGTGAGTACCTTGAGAAGACTACGAGTAGCGATAAATTCTGCTTGAGATGTTATCAGTACATACATAATATTGTACCAGTCACTGTGTGTGCTATCATCAAATAGAGTAATTCTATGATGGAATTAAAGTCCACTACCACACAATGCCCAAGTTATATTCCTATATTAGGGGTATATATTTGCATAAAAATGGCTGTTAGTGCATCTTGTTTCTAAGCTATGTTTTAAACTATTTGCCTTCAGAATGGAACATAGGACTTCAAACTTCAGCTTTGAAGTTCTAGTGGCCGTGATGTTGTTTTTGATTGGTAGTCTCATATACATCTATACTTCCATTTGTTCCAAGCCTACTACCAACCGACTGGTACGTAAACTAGACGAAATTTAAGTGTGCGTCGGTGGCACAGTGGTTAGGACTCTCGCCGACAATGCACAAGGTCCGATGTTAGAACCCCCGCCGACGCACACCTGATATCTATGCTCGGCCTGCAAAATTTGGGATACCGATATCCATGCTGAAAATTCCATACTTGTACCAAAAATACAGTATGGAATCAAGCTGTAAATAAAAAAACACATACCTCCCGCATCTGTGGCTGGCAAGTACCCTATCACCCAAGCACCAACGCAGGAATGGAAAAAACTTTAAAAACCTACTTTTGGAAACCGTATAAAAAGCAGACTGGCAACTAATCGGTGACAGCTTTCGGCTTCTAACCAACTGCGGTCACCATCAGTCCCAAATCCACTCCACCCCACCTATTAAATTTTGGACAACCAGGTAATAGTATCACTGTCTGTCTGTCTGTTTTCGACATAGAACTTTGCACAAATGTGCGAAAGTTCAAGTCGCCACACTCCGTGTAGAATAGTATCACTAGTCCTCACACACACACACACACACACACACACACACACAACGAATCTATTATACACTGCCGAATCTACATGGAATTGTGAGTGACATTTCACCTCCGTCCACTTTTAATTCCTCTGCTACCCGAGGGTAACATAGGGTTTCAAGGTTTTTGAAGTTTCAGCACCAGTAGTGATATCGATTTTCTACGGGGTCGGATTCGTATCCTAAGATAATACATAACCTTCCACTATTTTGGCCTTACTGCCGATCGGACAGTAAACTAAACGATGCTTAGGCCAGGAATCGGATGTTAATGATAACAAAAGTACAAGCAGTTGATGCAAGAGGTGACGAGCATAATAACTATAATGTAAATGATAATGTAGACAATTCAATAATTAAATTATAAAGAAATCTTACAAAACTAAAAGTTACATAACATTAAGTGAAGTAGATACATAGATAAACAGTCTACATTATATAAGCACGAAAAAAGTCAAGAAATCAATGAGAGGTCTTAATTAGTACATTAAAGATTTTCCTAGTCCATGGAAGAAAGAGAAATAAGTAGAACAAGCTTCTTTTGTATACAGAGACTAGGATTGTTCTCTTGAATTCCTAAAGTTTCGGTTACATGTAAAAGGCGGGTTCAAATTCCGTTCGGAAGGTTCAGCCGAATGTGAAGTAGATAACTATGAAGGTACTTCTTCTGTCCACTTGATGACCGCTATCAATCAAGTGAGCAAAAATAGAACTTCTCATAGATTTTAGCAGACCTTTTCCGTACCATGAGGGAAGATGATCATTGATACCACTGTTGAACTGTCTAGTTGTCCGCCCTATACAACTTTCTCTGCAGGAGTAGCTCAATTTGTAAATACATATAGAAGTGACACAGCTAGGTGACTTGCCTTTCGCTTATTTTATTTTACTTAAACGCATAAAAAACTTGGTACAATATGGCACCAAGAAAGATGCGCCACACAATAATAATAAAACAACATAGATCAAAAAAAAAAGGAAGGAAAAGAAAAAATATATATATAAGTAGAGAACGGATAAAGAACTTCATCTGGAAGGAAAACAGTCATGCTTAACAAGTTCAAACAGTGTTCGTTAGCTATCATCGGGAAGGGAAGAAAGAAGGAAATCGCAACACATTCGCCACTGATTACGATTCTTGGCCATATCCGATAACGTTTCGAGCCATCGATTTGAGCTATCTCTCGGACCCCAACCAGGGAGTCGTGACACACCAACCGATGCTAATCTAGCACAAAAATCCTTCATCCCACGACGCCACGTCATGGACTGACCACCTCTCCGCCATTTTCCATCCCGTCCCAGGGCTGGCGAACAGAGACCTGTACGGAAGCCTCTGGGGTGACATTCTCAGCACATGTCCAAGCCACCGGAGCCGGTGTTTCCAGATGACGACATTCAATGAATGGTGATCTCCACTGTGTTCAAACACACGCCGCCGAACCTCAGAATTACTCACGCGATGATGCCATCGAACGCAAGCAATCCTGCGGAGACAGCGGTGATCGAACACGCAGAGTCGCCGCACATCCTCAGCTCGGAGAGGCCAGGTTTCACAGGCGTAGAGCAGGGCAGCCCGCACCGAAGCATTGTATACCCGACCTTTGACAGCCAGGCTAACGTCGCGACGGCGCCAGAGGTGGCTCAAGTTGATGTATGCCACCCTAGCCTTCATTATACGGTTGGAAATCTCATCCGTCACCCCTCCGCCAGCACTCACACAACTACCCAGGTACACAAACTTATCAACAACTTCAAGCGGTTCACCCGCAAGAGTGAGTGCAGGTACAGGCTCCTGCCAATCTTGTAACAGTACTTTGCACTTAGACGGCGCAAAGCACATACCATACTTACAGACACTGATCGCCAACTGATTAAGTGCGATTTGGGCAGCCTGCATGCTATCGCACAGTAAGACGATATCGTCTGCATACTCGAGGTCGAAAAGTCTATCTCCAGGTAGCAGATCTACACCACCTTCACGCACATCCTTCAGAGCTGACTCCAGAATGTCATCGATGGCAAAGTTAAAGAGAAATGGAGAGATTGGGCAACCCTGTCTAACCCCACTGTTGGTTGGGAACAGTGGTGATAGTTGGTTGTATGCCCTCACTCTACCTGAGGTGTTTCTGTATAGGGCTTTCAGATGTTAACAAATTTCTCAGGTACACCTCTCTCTAACAGACAGTTCCAGAGCACAGTTCTGTCCAACGAATCGAAGGCAGCCCTAATATCAAGAAACACAACGATCGTTGGCCTGCAATACGTGTGGCGGTGTTCCAACAACTGACGAAGGGTGAACACATGATCAATGCATCCACGACCTGAACGAAACCCAGCCTGCTCTTCGCGAATCAATCCTTCACGTATTTTGCACAGTCTGCGAAGCAAGACAGCAGCCAATATTTTAGACGCGACTGGTAACAGACTGATACCCCTATGATTGTCACACGAATTACGTCGACCCTTTTTAAAGATGGGGACGATAATGGCTTCGTTCCACATTGATGGTACACTCTCTGTCTCCCACACCTTCCTGAACAACCCAGTTAGAGCCATTGTGAGAGTCTCGCCACCATCTTTAAAAAGAGCCGGGGGTAATTTGTCTGGGCCGGGCGCCTTATGGCGTTTCAGAACTTGGAGTTCCTTACGGACCTCCGCTTCGGTGGGTGGGTCGGTACTAACCGACCAAGGAGCACTCGGGCTAATGATAGTAGACACTGAAGCTGGTGGCCAGCTGAACTGCTTCCCGAAGTGCTCTGCCCAGCGTTCCAGGCGTCTTTTCAGGCTGGTAATTGGAGTGCCATCTGCCTCACAGACCGTCTCGCTGACACCTTGTTTCTTGCTGCCGGTGGCTCGTATGAGTTGGAACAGCTTCCGACTGTTGCCAGATGCAGCAGCTGACTCCATCTCACACGCACGTTCTGACCACCAGGCTTCGCGGTCCTTACGTAAACACTGTCTAATCTTGCGCGTGAGCGCCTTTCGCTGATTGTTGTATTCGCTGCCAGCCGGAATGGACCGGCGTTCATCCATGAGTTGCAAGGAACTCGCAGAAACCCAGTGGTTGTTAGCGGAGCATTCTTTCAAGCCGCAAGCGGCTACACTCGCCTTTTGCATGGCACCTTGCACATGAAGCCAATGTTCATCTATACTACTTGGGGGGTTGCTGGCAAGCATTGTTTTTAACTCATTCTGATATTTCAAAGAAGTAGCAGGTGCTACTAGTTTGCTCACATCAACGCTTAGACGACGGCTTTTACGAACCCCACCAAATCGCAAGACGAACTTGGCACACACTAACGCATGATCGGAGTCCAGGCATGTGCTCCAGAAGGAGCGACAGTCTTGTATGCATCCTCGCCACCGGAAACTGACCGCGATATGATCAATCTGAGTCCAAGCTTGCTTCGCAGAGGGAGGACGCCAGGTAGCGCTACGGCGATGGCTGTGCCGGAAGTTGGTGCTAGCTAGAAATAGGTTGTGATCCGCGCAAAGCTGCAGAAGACGGTCCCCATTATCTGACCTGCGACCATGTAGTCCCCACTGACCACCTAGACGATTCTCCTCTGAGCTTAGACGCCCACCTGTGCATTCAAGTCCCCAGCCAGCACTACGATATCCCTCCGACCCGCCTGTTGGTAGTAGAACTCATCCTTCATTGCATCCGGGCTGCAATCCGTCGGTGCATAGGCAGAGACAACAAATAGACACCGCCTATCTGGCCTACTACTCCTTACTTTCGTATAACCTTCCAGCCTCACAGCACATAAACGACTGTTAATGGGAATCCAGTCGAGCAGTGCAGCTTCGGCTCTAGCGCTCAGTGCGACACCGACACCAGCTACGCCGGATGCCGACGCCACAGGGTCCCCGGATAAGCGCAGGTGGTACATACTACTAGAACTTCCAGATGGAGAGGATAGTCGAAGCACTTCACTGGGATCTTGAATGCGGGTCTCCGAAATGCAGCAGACATCGATAGCGAGGCTTTCCAAAGTTCTTGCCAACCCTGCCTGTTGTCCGATTTGCATCAGCGTCCGAACATTGTAGGTAGCCAGCTTGAACGCAGCACGCGGTTTCAGGATATCTGTGTTAGATGTCACATTGGGAACAACCATTTTGAGGACTACTCACTAACATCTCGAAACGACACGGATAGGCTGGGAATCTCGACAAAGGCGAAAGGCTGTCGAAGGTTAAGAAGCCAAGGTTAGAAAAGGTAAAATACAGGAAACTATGTATAAAAATAAAAGTAAGGTAGGAAGGAAATAAGTTGCTTGAGGGATCAATATTGCTTGGAATCATTTTTACTAGCGCACGTTGAGTTTCAATGAGAGTTCGTTGCTTTAATTCATTCATTGTGTGCGGGCTGAGATACTGCCCGGGCGCCCAGACCGAAGCAGGTGGTTTTATTAAGGGACCCTCCCCCGAGCCTTTGACTTGGAGTCTAATCCGCAAAGCAGCGTCAGGAGCTGCATTCCCATGGTTTCCGGTGACCCATATGGGTTCATACGCCATTCGATCCGATTGGAAACTGGAGCCCATGTACCCCATGTTAACTGCTTTCGCTTAAGCAATCATGAATGATCGGCTGGAAAATGACAAACAAACCGTGACTGTAGTATGAGTCCGTTTTATGGCTCTAGATAATCTTACATGTAGAACCCAACTTTAATAGCGACGTCTGTGTTGAAATGGAGTTTCAAAAACAACTACTTCTTAACTTTAAAACAATCAGTTCCCTTTATGAATTTAGACAAAGCAATAAGAAGACGTAATTTGTCGGAATCGTGTAATGTATTTGCGCGACAAATTTCGAAGAATTTGATCACACACGAACTTGTCCTAGGAATATATATGAAATTAATAAACAGTTTAGAGGTGGGAAAATAGACTTAGGTCAAGTTAAAAGGACACACTGAAGGTTAAAATAACAATGAAGACCACTAAACCAAATAGCAGAGGGAATAGTACATCTCTTATGGTATCAAAACAAAATTTACCAAGGAAGCTTTAGTGTGATGACGAATTGTTTTTGAACGCATAAACGTGGCTTAAACTTTCTAATAGCTAGGGCTTCCACAAACTTTAGGATACACCCCAAACACGCTTTATAGCAGGTTTAAAAGATGTGTTAACGTCAATTTTATATCCTGTCTCTATAAAATGTTTCGCAACAGAGGAGCTAGGTCTCTTGTTCTCGCCATTAATGGGTTCTGAAGATTCTATTTGGTTCTGGAGTCAATTAGGAATATGCTCTGAAGCCCTTACTTGCAGAGATAGATGAGTCCTCCCTATGTATGTGTCCACACGTACATTCAAATCGCTAAATACAGTGGTAAATATAAAACAGGAGACCTAGCTCCTCTATTGCGAAACATTTTATAGAGACAGGATATAAAATTGACGTTAACACATCTTTTAAACCTGCTATAAAGCGTGTTTGGGGTGTATCCTAAAGTTTGTGGAAGCCCTAGCTATTAGAAAGTTTAAGCCACGTTTATGCGTTCAAAAACAATTCGTCATCACACTAAAGCTTCCTTGGTAAATTTTGTTTTGATACCATAAGAGATGTACTATTCCCTCTGCTATTTGGTTTAGTGGTCTTCATTGTTATTTTAACCTTCAGTGTGTCCTTTTAACTTGACCTAAGTCTATTTTCCCACCTCTAAACTGTTTATTAATTTCATATATATTCCTAGGACAAGTTCGTGTGTGATCAAATTCTTCGAAATTTGTCGCGCAAATACATTACACGATTCCGACAAATTACGTCTTCTTATTGCTTTGTCTACTTCTTAACTGTTGTCGGTTTCTCTTTATTTTTACACAGTACTCGCGCGTCTCCCTACATATCTACTAGGTTACTACTTGAGTGGAATCGAAATTGAAAACGACGAAATGGATGTCGGTTCGAGAGTGATATGCTGAAGATCGTGTGAGGAGAGGAGAGTGTAGGTAGGATGATGAAGCCAGCTACAGAGGACTGGAAACAACAGGATGAAATGAAGGTGTGCTGTTGAAGCCCTATGTTCCACTTGGAACCTAAGGGAATAATTATGGGAAAATAATTAATAGACAGAAATAATTCAAACAAACAAAACTTACCTGATGTAAATAGTCTAAACCGCACAGACTATAATGCAGGACTGTAGCGATTTGATCTTCACCCGGGATCGGTCTACCTCTCAATCGCATAATATCAGCAATTGACCCAGCACCACAATATTCCATACATATCCATAAATCTTGACTATCAAACAAGCTACCATAACATTTGACAATGAATGGACTATCACATTGTTGCATGATGGATATCTCTTTCACAATATCGGCTAGATCGCTATCAACAGGAACCTGTTCGTTAGATGGTCGAGGTGTTTGGAAAGGCGGAGTAGAAAAAAGAAAGCAGAAATATATATATATATATATATATATATATTGATTACTATTCAAGTACATTCACTATTATTGTCATTTACGACGCTAATGCGGAGTTATCATCAGAAATGATGACAACCAGTGGTGGCAGTCAAGGATGTCCAATGTTGCAGTTTTTGTTTAGTTTAATCACAGATGTGTTAAACCGTGGAATTGAGTTTAACCAACTTTAATTGTTCTTTTTCGTGTACTTTTCTGCTCATTACAGTTCTTTTGAATCCCATTTTTCTACCTTGTGAGCCATGTAAGTAATGTGGCAACTTGAAGTGATGCCGCACTTCTGAGCAGTAAGTCAGTCAGCTGATCACGAATAGAGAAAAGGGAAATGTTTTAGAAACGTTATTCATATTACTAAGTAGGAATAAAGTTGGTTATTTACATTTTTGGCTATAAATTATGATGCTATTTACATTTGAATAAACTAAAGACATCTCATCCAAAGGAATCCTATATCAGCTAATATTTCCAAACCATGCAGGTGGTCTGGAAATATGTAAAACTCTTCATAGACTTCTTGATCAACATAGCTTTACAACTGAATAAATTGACTTTCCCTTCCTAACTAACAAACACTTTCACCTACTCTCATTATAATTCATTACTTTGTTCTCACAAGCGTAAATTAGATTGTCAAGGGTTA